AACTTGTCAGAAAACTCATGGGGAAAGAAAACAGAGCAATATAAACAGGAAACTTCTTACATCATCTGCTGGGCTCCTGCAGGCAAGGAGGATCCCCACCACCTCTCAAAGCAGAGCTGTGCCTGAGCAGCGCTGCTTCGTGATGGCAGCGTGCCCTCGGTGGGGCAACACGGGAAGAAAGCCAACCTGGAGAGGCCGAGGCAAACCTGTCCAGCGGGACAGGCACTGTGCAGCCCCAGCTCACCAAGTCCTCCACTTGGCTAAGAGGCGAGGAACATGCAGGATGGAGGACACAGCACCCAGCACTGGGCACCCAGCGCCCCAGGCACAAGGAATGGCCCTTCTCCTCATAGAGCTGGGGGAAGACACTCCTCAAGCATGTGCTACAAACAGATGGACTTGATGGAGTGACACCCAGTAAGGAAGGTGTCCCCCAGCCCACCCCTCCAAGTGCGGCGTGATCTACCTGCTGCCCAGCAGTCAGTATGGGGTTGCTGCTACCACAGGACAGGCTTTTGGCAAACAGGCCCACTAAACCGCCTGGCCCATGGGGTAGGTCCGCCCCACCGCTGGTGTGCAGGGCCGTCCCTGCTCCAGTACGGCCCTGGGTGAGCAGCATGCCCGGGTTCTCGCCCCAGAGCAAACCCCACCGTGGAGCTGGCATTCAGCCCGCAGCAAGGAACGAAGCTGCACAGGAACCACACCCCTCTCCTACCCCAGGCTCCCTGCCTCCCACCTCTCCTCCCTTTCCTCCCCGCCCATACACTCAGTCTTGCCAGTTTGGGCAGATTTTCAGGAATCTAAGTTCAGACACACTCTGTACATTTTGGCAAAATCAAGTCTTTGGTGCTTCAGCTGTTAAAAGACCTGGCTAGTCATTACAAGTGTCAGTAGCTGTTTTCTAAGCAGACACAAAGGCAATGGAGATTTCTGAGTAATTAAACTACTGAAAAAGATCTCTGACCCATTCACCAAGACTCCCCCCCCAGGTCTGGTATCCTGGGATCTGCCACACCGTCACCTCCAGCCGGGCAGCACACCAAACCCTGGGGCTCCATGCGAACTTGAGAAACAGACCAGGACATCCCCTGGGCGTTTAACTTACACCTGGGCTGAAAGCACCCATGCCTTTGCTTGTTTGTTTGAAAAAGGAGCAAAGGGAAAAGGAAGGAAAATATGGCAATGGCTGTTTATTGGAGAAAGGGCATGAGTGAAAGGGAAACTGGGTAAAGCCTATAAATAACATAGCTGTCTCAGAAAAAGAGAACCGGGTACTTCATCACAAAACTCAAAACCATCAGCGAAACTACATGATGTCAAATTCATCACTAATAAGAGGAAATACTTTCCCATGCAACTCTGAATCTACCTGTGGAACTGAATGCTGCAGGATGCTGTAGCAAAAGGCAAAGCAATCAGATCCCTAAGGGGACTACAACGACATCCCAAGATAAACTGGTGTTAACGCTTCCCAAAAGATGAGAGTGGTTCTCCTTTTCAGGGTGCAGGTTGAACCTCTAACTATTAGGGCTTTAGGGAGTACACTCCTAGGATGGAGCTGCCACAGATGCCTTCATCAAGGCTTTACACCCTGAAGCAACAATCAGCTGTCAGTGTCTCATTAGGGAAATTGCACATCTGGAGAAACACAGAGCCGAGACTGCCCAAGTCCACATACTGCCCACGTCTCAGAATATGACTTTCTCCACTGCACTGAGAAGTGCACTTCTGCATACTCGGCTTCATGCCTTCAGATAGGACAGACTGGGTTCCAGAGAGGTCACGGGGAAGTGGCATACCACATACCACACACTGCTCCAGAGCCCTGACTCGCGCAGAGAAGCCACCTTCCCAGACATCCAGGCAAGAAAAGCACAGCCCTGTGTGCCACTGTCCCAAGGGTGTGGGCACCAAGGCATCCTGTCGCATCAGGGTGGCACCCAGAGTGGCCCCATCACAGCAGGTGCTGTACAGTGGAAAGGACACCGACTGAGGCTTATAGCTTACAGGCACAGAGCCAGACTGCTGATTTGTCATACACAAGGCTGAAGGAGTAAGCGTGTGGAAGCCATGCTTCGGGTAAGACAACTGCAGACAGCAGGCACGTCCCCATGGCCTGCAGCGGGGACTGCTGGCCCCAGGGTCAGAGAAGATCTCCTTGTAAACAGAGAGGAAGGCAGAAGAACCAGAGGAAAGGCAGCCTCCTCTCTGTGCCCCCTAGGAGAGAGCGACCCACATTCACAAGCATTATTACAACGCCACCGTAATTGGATTAAGCCACAGGAAGACTCTTTTATCTTGTTTAGTTTAAACTGTTAGTGTTGAAGCTCCCTATTAAACCACAGACAGGCTATCTGGGGTGAGCGCTCTCTCTGCCCAGTCATTTAGGCAGAATGCAATTCTGTTATCGCAACTCTCACATTGTTCTGTGCTCCTTTATCAGGGCAAGCAGCTAATTACACAGCCTGGCTCACACAGGTAATCAGCACTCAGAAAAATGCAGTAAATGCAAAAACCTTCCAGGTCTTTAAGAAGCCTTTTCACAATTCCCTCCCTCGTGCCCTTACTTCAGCCTGATCCATTTTCTTCCTTCTCACACTGAATGGGGTATGCAACGATCCAGAGCTGAAAAGGTGTGAGCAAAGCCTCAAGTCAACTGGTTTCTACTCCTGACCACACAAGCTGTGCGACTCTGGAAACTCAAGGTGTGTGATGTAGCGCAGTTGGAGCAGGATACATAGAAAGGTGAGCAGATGGACTACGGGCCAAATCTTTCCGTATAGAGCTCTACAAGGTCAGTATTTTATGGTATTTCACTGTTTGGGACACTAATCTATGGGGAGAAAAATCATGCTGTTGGTTACACAGCAGCTAATCCAACAAACAAGCAGCTCTTAAAGTGACCTCCCTTTATCCATTCACATATTCATCTCTGCTGTATCCAGCTGCCTTTTCCGCTGCCCAGCCTCCTGCGAAACTTAGAGGTTTGCATTCTGTCCATCAAAATCATCCTTGTAATTTCAGCTGGATGTGAAACTCTTTGCCTCCCATTCTGGAGCTTCTCATCATCATTGTGCAGTGCTGATATGTGGGATTAAACAGCTGATGCGGGATTCATTTATTCAGAGATATAATTTGTGCAATACTTAGGACTCCTTCAGGATGAATGTTACTAGGATTATTAAATTTGCACGCCACAGTGGCCAGCTGTTTCTGAAAACCCCTCCTCCAGGTAATTATGCTCCTCTGGAGTGGCACAGATGAAGTAGCACGATAGTACCCACAAACCTCCACTGAGGGAAAGCACTAAGTGCTGTGTGCTGAAAGGTGGGCAGCTGGATATCAAATTACTTCTAAAACCACACTTCTGAAGGCAAGCCCTCTCTGGAAGAGATGCTGTTCCCAGTGAAGTAAAGCCTCATTAGTGCAGAACCAAAGCATTAGCAACAGCAGCTGAAATAGCTCTACTTACTACATCATAACCTGTTGGTGCTCGGTTCCGGGATGCAACCACACCAACACCCGTGATGGGATCCATTGGCAAGTCAGGCAAGGCATCTGAGAGGTCTCGCACTTCAGGCATTATGGACTGATCCTGAAAGAAAGGAGCAGAATTAAAGGGCTGCTCAACAGCACACCCCAGCAGAAGACAGAGAGCATGGAGAGCCTGCATGCATGCCACAGTGCCTGTGCCGACACACCACAGACTGCCAAGTTAAACAGAGGATTAGGCCAGACACACCTTCTGCACTTTCATTTGCTTTTGATAAGAGGGTACATTTGTGCAATGCCCAAAAGGTTTGGAATTTGGGCCAGCAGCCTCTTCTAAGATTAATTTTGTTGTTTCCAGGATACTTAGCATGGGCTGGTCTCCATCTAGCAATGATGGGAAAACCCAAGCTCATTCCCTTCCCTCCCAAACAGAGAGCAAATTTCATCCCTGAGTCAGGCTGATTGAAGCAGCTCTGCCATTTTAAGCAGCAAGAAATCTGCTACTAATGGCTTCATTGGGAGGCTCCCCATCCACTATGGGTGTTAGACATGCTGGGGGTTCCTCCATGAGTCTTCAGTCCCGTCACACCCTCCTGAACCAGACCATTTTCATGTAGCAGCACAGATGTATCTGGCGCCGTATGCAAAACCGCGCTTACTGCAGAGCGCCTCAGCACCAGGGGAACACAGATGAAGCAGCACAGAATAGTCTGATGCAAAGCAGACAGAGGCCTTAAAGAGGCCTGAGCATCTTCCAGGAGAAGGGGGACATTACCAAGTACTTCAGGGGAGGGAGATACGCAAAGGGGGATAGAAGCAGGTAGGAACAACCAATTTTGGAGAGGTGCTGTTGCAGGAAGTAGGAGGAGGGGACAAGAGAGCTGCTGAAACAACTCGCTGAGGAGGAGGATGGGGAAAGGTGCCACTGCCTCAGCATGTGGTCTCCTGCAGAGACAGCCAGTTAGGGCAAGTCTTCTCCAGCTTTCAGGCAGGAATG